GAAGAGGCGCCGATTAGTTCAAGCCTCGAGGGGGATGGGAGTCCGATCTGATGGGCAGCTCCTGCCCCAGAACCTCCTCCCCCACGTCAAACCATGACACTCGTGGTGTGCTATACACTAAAAGCAGGAATTTTATATTATGTTTCTATTCCAATTTGATAATAACAATAAAATCATTAAGGAGGAAAGAAGGCTCTAACATGATAGAATCCTGGGTGAAAAGTTGGTCTAGCCTAAATCAAAAGAAAAGCTATTATTTATCTTCAGTGGATGTTCAACAGGGAAGTTGTTTCATATGGTACTTTTAATAGTGTTGTCATTTGAAACTGAAAGACAAATTTTAGGAAGCCAGAATATATTTGTTTAATACGAGATTCAGTTAAGATAATATAAAATGTATAGTAGACAAAAGAATGTGATATTTTTATGTTACTTAGAGTAAAATGGTCTATTTCTTTTACGTTTCAGGTGGTCATAATTCATCATGCTTTTAATCTGCCTGAAATACTCTGTATTTATAGTCACGATCCTTGTGAGAATTGTAGTGATACTATTCTTCCTACTTTATCAGAAAAGGAAAATTGTTATCATAATTTTCCGAGTCTCTATAAAGTCTCTTCTTAGACAGAACTCTCCCTGAAACTTCATCTCCTTTCCTAAGTTCTGTTGAGGAAGAGAGACAGGATTTCCCAACTCTAAGCTATTTCTGAGAATTGCCTAACCTGTAAGATAGCTGAATACCACGAGAACTTACGTTTAAATTAGCAGTGCTGTTCAAGCTTACAGGAAAAAATGGTTTGGTTATTTTGTTTTATTTGAATGTATGTGAATACTGTCTGAGGGTTAAGCAAAAGATTTACTGTGGACTTCATTAAGTTTCTGTTCAATACTGAGTTCTCGTAGTGAAGAGTTTTCAAGATTTTTTGTTTCTGTAACAGTTGTGTTTGATTTCACTTACATGATTAAGACTGAGGAGTTGTTATATGTTTGTTCTCTGTTTAGGCTTGTAGAATATTTGCAGGCAATGAGAAACTTTTTCTTACTTGAAGCTGGAGATACCATGTATGACTTCTATACATCTATTTTTGACAAAATTAGAGAAAAGGAAACTTGGCAGAATGTTGCGTTCTTAAATGTTCAACTTCAAGAAGCAGTTGGGCAACGCTATCCAGAGGACAGTTCAAGGTAAAATGCAAAATCCTGTAAAATATAGTTATGTTTCTTTGACACTTACCGATACTAGTGTACTTAACTTGCATAGCGCAATACTAATTATTGCATACTCATTACAAGAATCTGTTGTAATGAAATTTTAAACTGTTGTCATCTCTTCTACCAAAGTCCACCAGATTAAATCAGGCAGTTGGTATTTAGCAATAAGAAATAAAAAAAAAAAAAAAAAAAGAAATTAACCACTAATTGAAAACAGATTATCACCAATTAAATCACTTGTTTCCTTTCATAGGTTGTCTATATCATTTGAAAGTGTTGATACAGCAAAGAAGAAACTCCCTGTACACACCTTAGATGGTTTGACATTGAGTTACAAGGTAGTGAGTTAATATTGCTGTAGTTCTTATTCTAGAATAACAGATTTGAAATGTTGTATTAAAGTGACTTACGTTTTCTGTCTTGCTTATCCTCTCCTCTTCTTAGGTTCCTTGGCCAGTGGATATAGTTATAAGCTTAGAGTGCCAAAAAATTTACAATCAAGTTTTTCTGCTCTTACTGCAAATAAAGTGGGCCAAGTATAGTCTAGATGTTTTACGATTTGATGGTAAGAAACTTCTTCACTGAAAGATACTCTTTATATCCTTAGACCACAGAACAAGATTTATAGTCTACTGCTTTCTGCAGTAAGTAGTATAAACTAGTCAGAATTTTGATTCATTCTATAAAATATTAATCTCTATTAGCTTCTCAAATTAGAAATATTAAGCGGGACATGTTTTTCACTTCATCCTCAAAGACAACACTATTTGTTCATACATTCCTTTTTTCTCTTTGATTCAGGTCTAGTTAGTTATATTGGAAACTTGTTACTTCGTTCTTCAGACCTTGCTATTGAAAGAAGGTCTGTCTTCTACACTCTAATGTTTTGCTTTGTGTATAGTCCAAGTTTTTATGAATAATACCTTGCAAATGAGTTAAGGAAAAAAAGGTGGAAAAATAATCTAATTGAGATTGAAACAGTAAGCTGGACAGTTTGGAATACGTACTCTAAGCTACAATTTAAATATTTGGGGATTGTAGAAAGAGATCTTTTAGTGTCTCCTTCACCAGGTTAATGTTTATATTCTTCCTGTCTCATATAAAGTGGATACACACTAGAAAAATAACTTAGAAAGTTGATGGACTCATCTTTTTGTACATCAGTTAAGTAGTTCTCTTCTTAAAAGAAGAGTATGTGGTTTTCTGTTGTGGAGATAGTATACACACTTATTTTTAATGTAGATTTTTTTTTTAATCCTTTCACATAATTTTTTAGCTCTTAAATAGCATTTCCTATTACAGTATTTATCAAATTGTGTTGTACATATACTGTCAAACTATTCAGTATATTGTTGCTATATTTTATTAACATCTGCATTGCAAGAAAAATCTTATATCAGTATTGTGTGCAGAATAATAAGGCATAAAAATTTTCAGTTTGTTTTAAGTAACATTTAGCTGCAGTTTGTCTTCATAAGCGTTTCAATATAATACTCTTGCCTTTTCTTTTTAGAACTAGTCTGTGCTGCAGAAAACTCACAAGTTAAGGAAGGAACATCATTAGAACAAGGAATGCTTCCTCTATTTGAACCACAAACAGAAAGTATAAAACGACAAATACATCGCATGTTCCTCTTAAGAGTGAAACTTATGCATTTTGTTAACAGCCTGCACAACTACATCATGACTAGGGTTTGTCTTCTATCACATTTTCATTTATATTAAGAACTTGTAACTGGAAATGCAGTATTAATTTTTATTTAAAACATAAGAAAACAAACAAAAAAAGAAAATCTTAGTCTAATGTCCTTTCTCCAAAATAATTTTGGGCTAAACATGTTTCAGTTTTAACTTGGCACTTTTAAATCAGTAATTCTAAAAATGCTTTAAAAGTTCTACGTGCATATGATTGATCTTTGGATATTATTAGTTCTTTCTGATTGTGTCTCCAGGTGCTAGATTACTGAAGCATAGTAATGTACAAGTAGGTTTCTGTAAGCTGTTACTCTTAAGAGCTATTACACTTACAAAAGTGCTACTACAAACATTTTAGTTAAATGGATCCTTCTTAAAAATCTCTAGTACCCGGATTCAAAAGTGTATATGTGACTTCTCAAACATGAATCTACAGGTATTGCATTTATATCTGCTCCACTGTTGCCCTTTTTTACCTTTAGTAATTTGGAGGATAAGCCTAATATTTGAGAGGGAAGAGTGAAAGAATCAGGCAATTTTAGGCTCTTAAAAAAAAAAAAAATATTGAAAGAGAATCATAAGCACTTGTGTGCAACATGGAATTAAATAACTATGGTTGTCTTTTGAAGATTCTTCACAGTACAGGCTTGGAGTTTCAGCATCAGGTAGAAGAAGCCAAAGATTTAGATCAGTTGATAAAGATTCATTACAGATATCTATCTACAATTCATGATCGCTGCCTACTGAGAGAAAAGGTAGGTAAAAAAATAGACATATTTGATATATTGAGTTTAGCAGGACAGGAAAGTAGTTTAGTACTAACTATACTATCTATTTTGCAGTTTATACATACTAAGCAATGTATAGGTACTCTTGAGGAAATGGTAGCTCTTCCAGAGTTAACGCTGAGATCCAATTCCCCTTGCAAGTCTCATCTCAGTTCTGTCAAGGAGAGAAGATAAAATTAAATTATTTACATTATATTTTACATGACTCATTTGTTTCTGAGAGACGAGAGGATTTGAACAAACCGAGACTTGGTAATGTAGTGAAGATTATACACATTGATATGGCAGGAAATGGGGGTACATGGATAGCATTGTAGCCTTTTGTCCCACGTATTGTCTATGCTTAGACCTCATCAGAATAGTCAGCCATGAAATGGAGAGCAAATACAAAACATATCTTAAATTTGGAAGAATCACATTGTACTTTGGAGATTGTTTTTACAATCAATCAGATTAGATGGCATGGGATACCTTTGAATTCCAGCTTAATAATGAAAATAATTATGCTTACCAGTGAATTTCTGACTGTTACTCCTTTTTCTTAATTGTTATTTTAGGTGAGCTTTGTGAATGAAGCTATAATGAAAGTGTTAAATTTAGTACTGATGTTCGCAGACCGTTGGCAGGCTGGTTTGGGGGCGTGGAAGTAAGTATGCGTACCTAAAATTCTACATGGTTGTAATTTCACAGCTCAGAATATGGTTCCGAGATACTTTTTGTGTGAAATAGCAGGACTTTGCTTAGTGTTTAACAGCAGATATCAGAGGCTAGTTGCTGTTTCTTAGCAAAAGTGAAATTTCTTTTAGATGGAATTTAACAAGTTTCATGCACTTGTGTCAGTGTATGATCACTAGTTTCTAATTAAAAAGGTGACCAATATGTAACTTTCAAGTGTTTGAAGAAGCTGTAAAGCATAGCAATACAGAGGGTTTTCTTTTCCTTCATGTTTGTTCATAACAGTAAAATGAGAGGTTCACAGGTTTGGTTTATGATCAGGTTTCCTCACTCTGATTTAAAATTGTAGACACCTAGATGCTGATGTTCATTAACTGGTTTATGAAAAGTGGGATCATTTTATTTGGCCTTCATTCTAGAAGCAATACGCTTTTGTTTTTCTTGAAAAAAATAAAAATAATCTAAATCTAATCTCTAAACCTCCTTTTTCTCTGGACTGTCCACATCGTAAAGCCTTTGTAAAAAATTTGTGGTAAAAATGTGAAGCTGCTGAAGTCAATAAAAGTTGTGCTATTGACTTTGGAGTCAAGATTTTCATGCAGAATGTTTGATTCCATTAATTCGAATGCTCAGGTTTCGTATTAATGGTAAAATCTAGAGTTATTTTGGTCTATCCTTTCCCACACTACCTTTTTGTAGAAACAACCTGGGATGGATGTTGTAGTTGGGATTTTTAGAAAAGATGTGTGCTTCCTCATGTGCTATGATTGAAGTTAGAAACTCACCTGTGGTTTCCGAGATAAGATTGATGTGCTGGTCTGTGAATCAGTTGTTGTTCTCTAAGTCATTCCTTAGACTAGATTAAAAATAAGATCTGATGTTATTTTTGTTTTAGAATAGAATAGAATAGTTCAGTTGGAAGGGATCTATGATCATCATCTAGTACAACTGCTTGACCACTTCAGAGCTGACCAAAAGTTAAAGCATGTTAAGAATATTGTCCAAATGTCTCTTAAACACTGACAAGCATGGGGCATCGACCGCCTCTCTGGGAAGCCTGTTCTAGTGTTTGACCCACTCTCTTTGTAAAGAAATGCTTCCGAGTTTCAAGTCTCAACCTGCCCTGATGCAGCTTTGAGCCATTCCCACACATCCTTGTCACTGCATCTGAGGGAGAAGAGCTCAGCACATCCCCTCGTTAGGAAGCTGTGGAGAGCAATGAGGTCGCCCCTCAGCCTCCTTTTCCCCAAACTAGATAAACCCAGAGTCCTTAACCACTCCTCCCAGGACATGCCGTCCAGCCCTTTCAGCAGCTTTGTTGCCCTCCTCTGGACACATTCAAGGACCTTCACATCCTTCTTAAGTTGTGGGACCCAGAACTGCACACAGTGCTCCAAGTGAGGCTGCACCAATGCTGAATACAGTGGGATAACCAGCTCTTTTGACCAGCTGGTTATGCTGTGTTTAATGCACCCCAGGGTGCGGTTTGCTCTCCTGGCTGCCAGGGCACACTGCTGACTCCTGTTGATCTTGTTGTTGACCAGCACCCTCAGATCCCTTTCTGCAGGGCTGCTCTCCTGCCACTCCTGTCTCCATTTATACTTCATACTTTTGCTTGTGTAAGCTGCCACTTGAAGGATGAATGATAGTGGGCAATTCTCCAAGGCTATATCTAACGCTCAAGGGTTGATCTGTGTGAGGCCAGCTGGTGTGGACTGGCTCACATCCATGTTCTTCAGGACTAATTCTCTTTGGCACAGATGCTATCTAGAACTCTGATCCTGCTCTCCTGTGGCATTAGGAAGTTGCAATTTTTGGAGTGCTTTTCCGATTTGAAGTGTCAGAAATAATTTGTGAAGGCTGTTGGTAAAGACTGAAACTCAGGGTGTGTGGTTGTGTGCTCTGGGATGTGGCAGGAAAAAGTCATAGCTGATGTAGTGTCATCTGTATCCTCTTGGGATAGTGGAAAAAGAGAGTGGATATTGTGAACTACATCTTCTTCCCCTGGTGAGCGCTAGCTGGCACGCTCTGAAGTGGAGTTCAAGAGCTGGCTGAGAGTAAAGCAGTGAGGGCGTCCCCGTTTTATTTTGCATTGTAGGTTTACTCCAAGGAGATCTGAAGCAATAGGGACCAGGAACGACTGTCTTGAAATACGAAGCTACATAGGAATAACAGTTGTGAGTTGAAACCACACAGTTCCTCCTAGTTACTGCAGAGATTTCTAAGATGATAATGAAATTATTAATGCCATTGTGATAGTGCGTAGATGCTCCTGTCAAAATTGCCTTTCTTTTCTAGAAGTGGTGTACACAGCGTAAGTGAAATATTGTAAGTTCAAAGCCAGAGTGCTAAAGAGTACTTTGGTCGTTAACTGTGACTTGTGTTGAAGATAACGTAGTGGCTTGTTTGTTAAATGTTCCTGTGTTAAACTGTTTCGTAGGATGGAATCCATAGAGAAGATGGAATCTGATTTTAAAAACTGTCACATGTTTCTTGTAACTGTTCTCAACAAAGCTGTCTGTCGAGGATCTTTTCCACACTGTAAGTACATGAGGCTTTTCACATACCTACACTTAATGGGACACAAGCTTTACCAGGAATGTATTTATGTTTTAATCTGGTTTAATGTTTGTCAGTACATCTTAAAGAATCTCTTGTGAGGTATTCACAAAGGGACATGAAGCCTTACTTCTTAATAATTCAACTTCTTTATTTTTTAGAGTATTCTTGCTGTGGGTTTTTTTTTATGACAGCTATCTTCAATTTACCTGTTTTCTTGATGAGGGGATGCTGAAGTAGCCAAGCAAGTGACAAGTGGTTTTCTAAGTGAATGAAACTTAAGTTCTGGAGGGCATAAGGGAGCATTCTTTTTGTTGTTGCTGGATGACAGCTGTGATATATCTTGAGCAGATACAATTTTAGTATTTTGGTGCCTCAGATGCAGCTGCACCGAGCTCTTGGCTCTGCCCACCTATTGGAAGTTATTTGCTCGGCAGCGGAAATAGCAGAAGACGATATGTCTGTGCTTCTACTGGCAGCCTGGTGTTACCTTAAATTGCTCATCAGTGCCAGTTTGAATTAGGAGAGGCACCAGCCGAATGGGGTTAGCTGGGATGTAGATGCATGTTCTAATGGCTTGCTGAAAGGGGTAATATCTGACATCAGTGCTACTCGGTCTACAAGAGCTTGTCTGCAAGAACCCTTTGTGAGAAAGGCGTACTGCATATAACCCCCCACAACATATATTCCTTTTTTTTTTTGTGTACAGCAGTTAGTATTTCAATCAAAGGAGCTATTTTTTTACCAGTTCTTGCCACGTGAAGTAACTGATGGATACGTGTTGGTGAAAGTGGTGAAATAGCTGTCTAAACTGTTAGAGATTCATAAAATGTCTTACCACCTTAAGTCCTGAAGTGTTACAATTTAAAAAATAAACTGATGTTTTCCTTTTAAACTACAGAATTTAATATTGCAATAAATACTTGCAGACTGCTGCAAATGCAAGTATTAACTACTTTTTTATGGTTTGGTTTGCAGTGGAATCTTTAGCTTTGTCACTGATGGCTGGCATGGAACAAAGTTAACACCTGAATCCGTTGAATTTCTAAAGAAATGAAAGCAGCATTTATGTTGAAATTCTCTTGTTAAAAAACCGTAAGCATTTTACACTCATTTGAAATGTGTATAGCGAAATGATGCTGATGGTTTGGAGCTGTGTAAAATATTTTAAAATGTAAATAATGTATAGGTATTTGAATGTATTGGTTGTGGCAGTATTTTTCTCTGTATCTATATGCTTCAACATCCAAAAACATGTACAGTGTAAAATTCATCCTGTGTAAACAGTCTTACTTGAAAATACATAAAATGTACTTCGTGCTGTAAAAAAGGATTTTTTTTTTTTTGAAGTACCATTAATTGCTGTTTTACTTTTTTCATTAATTTTGCAGCTGTGAATATGTCACAGGGAAGTGTGGAGTGGTGTGACTCAATTCTTATTATTCAAAGGGTTGGTTGTGTTCATTTTTGGCCTTTTTTTCCTTTGGAAAAAGGCTAAGAGGCATTCATCTTATTTGCTTAATGGTTCTTAAGAACTCTTTGGGAATAGTTCTGACTTAAAATAAGCTGATATAAAAAGTACAAGATTAACTTATCAAAATGGATTATTACAGGCTATACAATACCAGTATTTTTTATGTTAAATGATCAAATGCTTACTAATTTTAGTGGTAACTCTTGTCCATTTAAGTAGGCTCAAGGTTACAATGTGGAATATATCAATTTTAACTGTCGGATTGCTGAGATGTTTCAGAGATGGTTAAATATGACTTGACCGTTTTCCTCCTAAGCTTTTTGCAAACGAACCTTATGTCTAATAGCTACTCTCTTGTAAAGCAGTAGATTGTAATACAGAAGAGTGCATTTCTAGAGAAGTAAATGTGGAATGTGTTCTGCACAAGATGACTGCCCTGTCTCCTCCCTGTGAAGTTTCTCTGTAGTTCTGGCGTCAGTACACCTCCATTTAAAAAGAGAAAATCAATCGCAGCCATTTACCTCTTTATTTATTTGAATAAATAAAAGATTTACTAATTGAAATTTCACCGTTGTGTGTGTTTCTGCTGAAATCCAGTTGGTAACTTAAAGTTTGAGGGCTGTTTCTGCAAGGTAAATGAAGTGTATTATTACCAAGTGTGAGACTGCTTGGCTTACATTATAAAACTTTTTTTTTTTCAGCTATGAGCTAATAATTAGTTTATAGGAACATGAACATATGGCTTCTTGTTTGCACGGGAGTTCTTAAAAGGTTCTTCCAAGTTATAGCCATAAAACATTTTCAGGAAGAAGACTGGGTGTTTTTGAGAGTATAAGACTGGGAAACTTTCTGCTGCCCTGTGGCATGTTCTTTTTTGTTTGACTGAGTGGAGGTTTTGCTTTAGAGAACATTGTGTTTGTATTATCTTATGCTGCCACATGACATACTTTTCCAAGTGGATGTTTGTTGTGGTAGGTGGACACCTGTTAACAGAAGTAATTTGTACTTCCAGTTTACCATGACTGGTTCTCATTTGGAATTCCATGTTACTTACTGCATGCGGAGACAGTGAATGCTCTTCATTAATTGATTCTTGCTAATTCAGAGTAAAACTGAATAGCATACTAATTGTTTTAAGAGGCGTACTTGCACTGGGAAGTTCAGCACTTGTATCCACTGGTTCATTGCTTTTTGAGTTTATGTATGTCTTGTGCTCTGTGCTTTGAAAAATCTAGCAAATGGTTGCTTTATTTCTCTTTTCTATATGGTGGTTACCTTTAGTGAAATTACTGCTTTTTATACACTTACCTCAGATAGTATTAGCTAGATATGGGGGGAAAAAAAATCCTTCAGTCCTTCATGTTGTTGAAACAATAATTCCTAGTAAATCCTATTGCAGATTTTACTGGCTTTATTTGAAAGATCACATGCAAGCGAAAGAATTTGCTGTTTCACTCAATTTCCTGTTTAGGAATTAACCTTGTGTTCTGTAGAGAGACTTCTGTATGCTTTGGAGTTGGGTGATGCCTGCACACCATCTTTCAGCCAGCTTCCAATATTAGTCACAAAAGCATAGTGGAAAATCTAGCTCTGGCAATGTCACGGACACCTTTTTTTTTGTTTGTCTGTTTAGTTTTTTGTGTGTCAGTAATACTCAGCTGACAAATTCCCTTGAATTGGGTCCATCTTATGGCATCTCTTTCTCTTTCTTTAGAACTACTAGAAAGTCCTTTCTTTAGTGTGCATGCCCTGTGATGCCACCAGGACCTTTTCATCAATCCCTTGGCAGTAGTTAAAATAGCTATTTACCTGTTTGGGGAAAAAAAAAAAAAGAAAGCTCGTAGTGAGGTTTGGGGTATTTTAGTTATTTATTTGCTCAAATTTCCTTGTAACATTTTCTGATTTCTTTACAGAGCAGTATTGTTACTTGGATTCTGTCCTGGGTCCATTCCTTCTGGACATTTTCTGACCCCATATCCAAATGAATTGATTTGAATCTTAAATTTTGGACACTCTTCGTGTTTGATGGAGGAGACCTAGCATTTGAGTATGCTTTACTTGCACTTTGGGAATTTCAAGTGAGCAATTGCAGAGATGTTAGAAATATGAGGCCTGATGTATTGCATATGTGTATAGATTTAAGGAGGTTCTGTCATAGTCCATTGTTTTGTAAGTTATTAAGTCTAGCTAAAGGAAAGCATAAAAAAATACCCAGCAAACCATGTAGAAAGTGAACTTTTAAAGCATCTAAGGAGGTATATTCTAATTTAAAACCATATTTAAAAAAACTCCACCGGGTGGTAGGATTTGAAAATTTCAGGGGAATATTTTTGATTAGTACATCTCTTTCTGAGCTCATGGCTGTTACTTTTGTAACATCAAAAGGCTGGTCTGTATTTAAATGAGAAAAGTCATGTGCTTTCTCCTGAAATATGTCTGATCTAAAAAGCATAAAATAAGAAATAATTATTTTGTATTTAAAAAAAATCATTCTTGATTATGGAGAAGAGGTTTTAATGAATTATTAAAGGAGAAGAAACATAATCTGGTTTATAGTCATAGCTAGATTGTTCTGATCCTAGAGAATTTGAAACTAGAAAGAGAAAAAAATGTTTAGATCCCGGTCTTAGCCATGTTCTTCTATGTTATCCTGATGTACAAAAAGGCCTGCTTGGGTTTTTGAAACATGAGAATGAATACTTAAGGTACAAGGGAGAAGTGAATGGCTTCACAAAGCAGCACTGATACGGGTGGAACAGCAGGTGTGGGTTTGGGTGCTTAAAAGGAAAGACTTGATTAGGTGATATTAGAGACGATTATAATATTCATGGTAAGGTGTTATGTTTGATGACTAAAATTATTGGAAAAGAACACACTGCATTATTGGATGCTGTCACAGTTTCATCTATACTTCATTTCCTCCTTCTTACTCTTTAACTTCTAGGCGGACTCTATGCTGCAATTTTTAAGAAAGAAGCCCTTATCTATCTGGCTCAGTACTTTTCTTCCTTCTTTTTTTTTCCTGTGGTCTTCTGTAATCTCTAAGCCACATTTTAGCACAGATTTAGTAAATTCTCTAATGCTTTCTTTGCTGTTTAGTTTTAATAGCTCTTAATTAACCAGTAGGTCCTTGAGGACCTTCGCTTGTGTCAAGCTATTGATATCAAAAAAGTTAGCTACCAGTTGCTGATTGCATGGTTTCCATGGTAGCATGGACTAAAGATAGCATCTCTAAATTGCAGGCTGATTAAAAATACAAAAAAATTCCTCTGACATGCTTTTTAATCTTATTAACTGTAGACGTTTATGAATTTTTCCAGCTTTCTTCCTTTTCTCTTGCACGCTTACAGAAAAATCCTCACTGGTACAGTTCATATTTTCTGGAATGTGCAGTGGCTTGTTGCTGCACTGTGCCTTTGTTGCTGGGAAGGCTGAAGGGGATCACAGATCTTGGGGTCTGGATAGCTCATAGAGTTACCAGCGTTAGAGGGGCAGGGCTGGGGTGAAGAGTGAGTGGGATGAATTGCCGAAGATACGTGCCCTAGTTTCTGTATTGATGTCTTGCGTGAACAAAATGAATGTAATTTATAATAGAACCAAGAAGGGATTTAATGCTCGTTCACACCTGTCAGGGAGCTGGCGAGTGGACTCTGGTGTGGTTGGCTGCACATCATCCAGCACTCTTGGAAAGCAGAGTTGGGGGGCAGTGGGGGGTCACGGGCCCATTTTACAGATAAAGAGTTAAATGCCTCTGAGTTAGCAACAGAACTTTTGTCTAACATTTCAGGGAGCTGGAAAGCAAAACTGGGAAACCCTGCTTGCTCAGATCCATTTGAGATAGCGGCATTCAGCACTAGGAGAGAAATTGGAACCAGAGAGAGCTGCACATCTCATCACATCCTAATGGGCATTTATGAACGTGCAGCGTGCTTGCCATTGGTAGCTGTGCTCTTGGCAGCACACATGTTCTCAGGGGTAGGAATGTGGCTTTTCCTGGAGTTAGAGGTTGGTGTGGGTGATCAGATCACTTTGCATTCGCATAAGGCCTTGTGAAACAGAGAGCTCCTGGCTGTAGTGATGATACGGAGTTACATCTTTACGTAGCTGGCCGGGCTCCTGGCTGTGGGCAGATTCTCACTTTGAGCTGGCTGCTCACTGAGCTCTCTGAGACAGTTGCTGCTTTCTGCTCAGTCTCTTTTGCCTAAACTCTCCCAGGTGCTGTGCCCTTTCCACAGGTGCCTGTCTCTTCCTGAGAGCTGACACAATGGGTTTGCTGAATGTAGTGTGGAAGCATGTAATTTTTACGTTGCCTTGCTATGCTTTAAACCATTTGCTACATCTGACACAAACTGAAGTCTGTGCTGACATCTTGTGTGAAAAATCTTGTCCTTTAGGGTACTGTCAGGTGGCTGGTATGTTGCCAGAGATGTGATTTAATTTTTTAACTGATTTATAGACAAGTAGCTATTTTATTTCTTTGTAGTTTTGCATGATGTCCTGTTCTTGGGGTCATTGTGGCCATTGCTCGTTACGGCTTCATAAATACCTTTCTGTGTCAGGTTGTGACAGTTTCCTGTGTTGCGTTACCTCCTTTCTGAGGATCTCTGTGGACTCAGTAGGTAAAAAAAAATTAAATGAATAGCTAGATATGCTATTAGGCTGAATTGCTAAAATATCTGAGTGGAAAGGTGCAAAACCAGAGAGTACATCTGCATCTTAGACATAGCAGACACCTCACTGCAGAACCACAAAATTCCTGTTGAAGCTGTCAGACTGCTGTGGAACGGAACTCTTCCATGGATTCCTGTGGGCTCCTGCAGAAGATTTTCTTTCATTGATTTTGG